CCCGCCACGCCCGCTGCGGCTTCGGACGCGGGCGAGGCGGAGCTGTCCAAGGAGGAGCGCAAGGCGCTCAAGAAGGCCAAGAAGCACGAGGCCAACGGCACCGAGACGCCCAAGAAGGACAAGAAGGACAAGAAGAAGCGCTCGGCAGACGAGGCCGACGTCACCGCCACGCCCAGCTCCGAGCCAGGGTCGAGCAAGAAGAAGAAGTCCAAGAAGGACTAGAGCCGTTGGCCCTACTCTCTCCCTCTCTCTCAGTGTTGCTTGGCGTCTTTGTCGTCGCCACCCCCACTTGATCCTGTTTCTTGTACATTCTTCTTATTCGCTGCTCTTTTCGCCGGGACGTCTAGTCTTTCTCGGCTCATCGACCGCATTTTCTGTACCGTGTGCTGTAGTAATACGTCTTGATCTCACACACTGCTGTCGGCGCGAGGGTGCGCGCTTTTGAGACGGGATGTGCAACTTCTGAAAGCGAGCTTTTTGAGATTGGCTTTCAGCTTGAACTGTGCAGGTGGTGGGCGCGGGGCGGCTGTTCTAGACGACACGACGCACTTCGAACTGGCGCTTGACAAAGTAGACCTGGCACGAGCATACGGCGATGAGGATGAAGCCCTGGATGATGGACCACCACTTGACGCGCGTGTTTGTGCTTTCCGCGGCTGTCGAAAGGCAAGAAGGCTCGATCAGTCGGTCTTGTCACTTTTGCCCTACACTATAGGGTTTGAGGGTTGGACTTACTGTTCCTGTGTACGCGTTCACGAATCACGAGGTACTCCTGTTCGTCTTTGACAGCCTGGAGACCTGCAGCGAGGCCTCTGATTTCGCGTTCGATGGGGAGCATATCTCCCTCGTCTGGGACATAGATGATGCCGTGCACGTTGAAGCTGACCGTCTTATCCGAGACTGTGCTGAACTCGTTGGAGAAGCAGTACGAGTACCTGCCGTCGTCCTGGGCGGTAAACGAGTAGGTGCCGGTATCCTTTCGGTCCTGCTTGAAGAGTGCGCGCGACTTGGGATCGTAAAGCACCACATCGATGTCGAGATGTCCGCCTCCGCCGACCTGGTACGTGAGCGTCATTTGGTCGCCGTTGTGCAGGTCCTCGAAGAAGCATTCGCTGCTGTGTGGGAGCAGCTCGATCATGTGCGCGCGTGCCGGTGCAGCCGACAACCCAAGCACAACCAACAGGGCCAACGCCCATGCGGCCAGTATCGCCGTGAGTCTCGCCATGCTCTTGTGCGCGCTGTGAGTGGGTGAGATGGTGATCGTGAGGACGAGATGGCGAGGGCAACGGGCCCCGACGAGGGGTGAGACATGCGCAATTGACGCCCCGAGCGCCAGCGCCTGCCAGCAACCGTGATTCTTGGCCTTCCAGCTCGACAGCCAATCTGGCTCCACGCGATCGGCCCGATCTGAACGATGTGTATCAATGACGGCGTAACAAACACAAACTTGGACCTTCGACTTTTTTCTGAGCACCACAGCACAGTGTGCGGAACTCGATCACTGAGCGGGCGATTCGGTACGGAAAAAGGTGCAGCGCTGCAGTTGCAGCTGAGTTTGGAGTTGGAGGGATTGCGCGTGCGGCTCAGAACTCTCTGAGCTGTTGGTTTGGATTTTTTTGCCGCTCCAAGCAAAGCCCAAGCCAGCCAGCCAGCCAGGCGCGCCTCTGTGTCGGAGGCTTCTGTCTGTTGCTTTGGCGTGCGGGTGCGGGTGTGAGTGTGCCTTTTGGTGTGTGCCTTTGGAGGTGCGCTTTGCAGGTGGTGGCATTCGAAATCCCCAGCTTGAGAAGCTGTCAGAGAAGCTCGCTTTTGTCCTCCACCACCATCCCGCATTCCACATACACACCAATCATACAACATGGCCGACACCGAAGCTACCAAGCCCACCGTCGATGCTGTACGTCTTTCGCTTGCACTCCATCACGCTGCACTCGCGCGCGCACACTCTGACTCGCCACTGACACATTTTTTGTTGCTTTTGGCGCGCCACAGACCGAGCAGGCCGCTTCGGGCGCTGCTGCCGAGGAGGCGGAGAACGACCCGCACTTTGAGCCCGTCATCAAGCTCGAGAACCAGGTGGAAGTCAAGACGCACGAGGAGGACGAGTCGGTGACGTTCAAAATGCGCGCCAAGCTCTTCCGCTTCGACAAGGAGGCCAAGGAGTGGAAGGAGCGTGGTACCGGCGACGTGCGTCTGCTCGAGCACAAGCAGACGCACAAGGTGCGCCTCGTCATGCGCCGCGACAAGACGCTCAAGGTGTGCGCCAACCACTACGTCACCAGCGATATGAAGCTCAGCCCCAACGTCGGCTCCGACCGCTCGTGGGTGTACAACGTGGCTGCCGACGTTGCCGATGGCGAGCCTACCGCCGAGACGCTCGCCATCCGCTTCGCCAACTCGGACAACGCCAACGCCTTCAAGGACGCCTTTGAGGCCGCACAGAAGTCCAACGCCGCCTCCAAGTCCGACGCACCACCCACCGCCGCCGAGGACGACAAGAAGGACGCCGCGCCAGAAGCTGCCAAGGACGACGACAAGGCTGACGACAAGAAGGACGAGTAGAGCGCTGCGGGATGCATCGCGCAGACGCAGATACGCTCCAAGCTGTAACCCCGACCGCACGTCGACTGCAAAGCCATCGCCAGATCAGCGCAGGCCCATGCCGGCTCGAGTTGCACACGGGTTGATATCCCCTTCCAGCCACCTCTGCCTTGCGCCCTGTCCTCTCAAACGCATCTTAAGCCATTGCAACTCAATCGAACACAGCGCGACATCACAATTCGGACAAAGCTGGCGGGGCGCTTGTGGCGACGCTCGTGTGTGTTTTCCCGCTAGGTGTGAGCCGGTTCGCTCGGGTGGGATTGGGCATCCTCTTCGTGCCATCGCGTTCGGATTCGCGCGACGACCGTGGCGAGCGCAGCGGGGTCGAGCGGGGTTTGGGTGTCGATGAGCGCTTTGAAGCGGGCAGCAATGACGGCGCGGATGAGTTCGAGTGCGCGGCGGGTGTACCAGCCCGTTTCTGGGTCGAATGTATCGCGCAGCCAGGGTGTGCCCATCCGCTCAAGCGGCAGCACTGAATCCTGGGGCAACTCGTCATCATTCCGCCGCCAGATGTACGGCGTGATGAGCGGATCCTCGATGTCGCACAGCTGAAAGTTGCCCACGCCGCGCCTGAGTGTGACTCCATCAAAGACGTGCGTGCTGCCCAGCTTGTCTCCCAGCCCCACTGCACCCATGCTCGGCGCCTCGTCGTCCTCTTCTTCCTCTGCAGCCGCGGTGGATGGACGGTGGACAGTGCTGCGCAGAAAGACGCGCTGGTAGATGCGACTGCTGCAGTCACTGCGCACATCGTACCCGAACCGCACAATCGTATCGCGCCACGGTCCGCCCACCATCGAATAGCCCACGAGGGCATAGTACACCTTTTCGTTGTTCCCGCCCATCTCGCGCACCCCGTTGGCGTCCAACTGACTCTTGAGTGCCACGCGCGACCATACCGGCCTCTCTGCCAACAACTCCCTCAAGCGCGCAACCACGCTCGCGTCACACCGATGCTCGATCCGCACCACATCCGCCACCGGCTTCGTCGGCACCTTGGTATCCTTGCCCACGCGAAACGGCTGCGGCGCAATGTTGAGCCGCACCCGGTTGACGAATCGTTGCATCCCCGGCTCGCCCGCCAGCGCGTGCGCAAAGCTCCGACCCCCCGCCGGCGCGGCAAGGTGCGGAGTGGCGGGTACACTGCGCAGCTCGCTGTACGGCGTCTGGCTAAAGCCGTAGCTGAAGGGTACATCCATGCGGCTGAAAAACGCGGGTGGCAGCATCCCGAGCTTACTCACCCCGTCGCGCGTCTGGTAGTCTTCGTCCTGGGGCGGAACGCGGAAGCGCTCAAACGCCGCCAGATCCATTGTAGCTAGCGCCCTGTGCATCGACATGACTGCGTCGAGTTCGGGCTCTGCGCGCGCGCCATTCGAGGTGGAAATGGGGTTCGTGGTGATGGCGGGCTGGAAGGCGTAGTCGGCCATGCTGCGGAAGCGCACCGTGTTGGAAGCCATGCCGAGCGCTTGCACGGCATACTCCTTCTTCACGCGGCCGGTGTACCTGTCGGCTCCGTGCGTCTGCTGCGCTGCTGGCGGTGCGGGCTCGACGAACAGGGCTGGATCGAGCGCACTGTCGAGTGTGTGCAACGGCGGGGATGGCGGACGTTTGCGCTTCTGCCGCCAGGTGCGTCGGACGATGCGCAGGACCACGTTGCTGGTGGGCACGACTTCGCCGATGAGTGGCGAGCGGTACACGTTGTCGACACCACCCTCGAAGCCGCCGAGCCGGCACTCGACGACGCGCAGACCGTCGTTGGGGATGCGCGCGAGGAAGCGCAGGCCCTCGTGCGCGCTGCTCGTCAGCGGCGGCAGAGTGGATGGGTGCAGCGTGGAGAGTGCGCGCTCGAGGCTGGCTGACGATGGCCCGGCAGCAGCATCGTCCGAGAGGATGCCGGGGTACTCGACGCTGAGCAGTGTGGTGGCCGGGATAGGGCGCGGCTGG